CTACTGCAATGACCCTGTAGATTCTGTCGACTCCGAGAATGAGGCACATGATGCATGTCACATGGGCAATGCATGGGCTGCATAATGCATGGTTAGACGTGAGACGTACGATCATCACATAGTCTTGAGGGCATATCGTGTATGGGACATTCGCCCACGACGTGCAAGTCATGAACCATGTGGTTCACATCGAAGTCATGACTGTCATGATTGCCACTGCGTTGCACACGTCAGCAGCAATAACCATGTTGGCCAGGTGTTTAGGGTTCAGTCAGTCTATGCATTTATGATTCCATGATGTGAAGATGCCTCCATGCTGCCCGGTTGCATCATTCTGGTGGCACGTGTCTGCTTCTCGGAATAGTAAGCACAGCTATCGACTATTGACTATTGACTATTGCTGCTTCTTTCTCATTCATCTCGGTTGTCGGAGTATCTTGGGTGTTGGTTGCCAGGTGAGACCCGAGATGGCATACAACCAGACCGACTACATCCCATCATCAACAGGACCGACGGCCACACCCGAGATGTCGCACAGCCAGAACGACGACATCACAACACCAGCGGGGGCGACGGCCGAGCCCACGATGGCACAGAAGCAGAACGACGAGGCATCGGCAACCACACCTGAGATGGCACGTAACCATCAGGACGACGACATCCCAGCATCAGCAGAGGCGACAGCCAAACCCACCATGACCATGGCACACAAGCAGAACGACACGCTATTGGCAGTGAAACCTGAGATGGCACACAACGACATCCCATCATCAGCAGAGGCGATGACAGACAAGCAGAACGACGAGGCATTGGCAGTGAAACCTGAGATGACACACAACCAGGACAACCACATCCCAGCATCAACAGGGGTAACGGCCAAACCCACGATGGCACACAACCAGAACGACGAGGCATCGGCAGTGAAACTTGAGACGGCACACAACCAGTGCGACCCGGCATTGGCAGCGGCGACGGCCAAACCAGAAAACGACATTGCCGTCAAGCCTGAGATTCCTGAGATTGCACATATGCAGAAAGACGGTGTAGTGGAGGGCGCCAAACCTGATATTACACATAGCCAGAACAACAACCCATCATCAGTAGCAACGGCAGCGGCGGGACCGTGCGTACATGCCACCACACCTACTCCCAGCCAGACTCCACATGTGAAGTCTAAGGCAACACCAGCACAATCACCAGGAAGCGTGGCAGCGAAGTCTCCCAGACCTAATGCCAATGCCACCAAGACCAGAGCATCACCGCGCGACACGCGCATGGGATTCCGAACCATCGAAGGCATGCGGTGTCTGTTTGGCATCAAAGATGTCCCTCCTCAGCCTCAGTCTGCTCCGGCTTCTCATTATCGTAACGGTATCACAGCATCCGACCCAACCGCTCAATGCAGCCCGAAGCAGCCTGATGCCACTCCACCGCCCACTGACGGCTCACAGGCTGTTGCACCATCCGACCCAACAGCTGGCCAGTGTAATGCCCCAACCGTCGAAAGCATCCGGCAGCTGTTCAGTGCCCCTCCCGCGGCCCCTCCCCCAGAAGCAGCTGAAGGATCCGATGCCACAGACGTAGGATGTCCGGGCAATGCCACTTCAGAGGCTGCACATAGCACACATGCACACAAGCCCATGTCCAAGTGTCAGCCTTCAGCCACACTGCTACAGCGATCCATCGTCCATGACTTGGATGGCATGTTTGACTTTTGGGATTTCAGCTTTGACAAGATGGTCGACGGTATGTCGGAAGATGAACGACTCGACACATGGGAGCGACTGGCCAGATCTCTCGAAGACGACAGCTTGTCAACGGCTTACTCAGGTGTACGTGCCCCAGAAACGGCAATGTCAGTGATGCGCTACCGGCTTGGTCTGCGACTGGGTAGGGAAGTCAAATGCAACAACCACAACCTGTCTCACGCGATCGAATGGTCGCCCGATGCACAGGCAGAGTGCTTGCTGTCTGCCCGGCACGAGGGGGGTGGATGTGTGTTTGGTAACATCGCTGATTTCTTCAGGAGCGAGCTCAAGGACTCCGTGATACCACAGCTCCTTGCGAAGCCTGCTATGACTCTTGAAGTTCTTCAACCATTGCTCCGGACCAATCGGCTGGTGCAGACAAGTGCACATTGCCTAGTGCATGGCCGCACTTGTTGTCTAAAGACCTGCAATCGGCACATTGCAGGCACCAGTTGCCGGCCTTTTTCGAAACGGGGTTCCGGGCTAGGATGCAATGACCAGGAGATCGTTTACTTTATGGCATGGCTGGGTTTGCGAATGCTTCTGCAAGAGCCAGATGTGACACAGGAGAACGTGGTGGGGTTTCCTCCGGATGTCATTGAGCAGGCAGTCTCCAGCATATACTACATGGAGGTATGTGAACTGGATGCTGTACAATTCGGCTGTGCCTGCGCACGCCGGAGGCAGTTTATCCGCCTGCGACACAAGGAGAAGGTCCTTGGTGAGATCTCCCCGTTGGCCCGGTTCTCGACACGCTTCTTCAGGGCCGTGAAGTATCACTGGTCGGAGCAACTCGTCAATCGAGATCGTCGCACCGGGCATTCACTCACTCGTCCACTCATCCACTCCCCCGCTCCATGTAGCATGGACACATACTAGCACACGTGGTTACCATCATGCATGTGGTCATGTGAGTCATGCCCAATCAATCAAAGCTCGTCATGCAGACTGAATTGTCGGAGTGCAAGGCATTAATTCGCTGAATCACAGCGGCACATGTCATCGTTCATGTCCATGTCAGCTCATGTGCCATGAATTGGTTCTGTTAGTTGGTCCATGTCATTCTGCATGTGAGTCCTGAGTCCTGTGCCACAGTGTGCATGTGACATGTGGGTGCGATGTGTCATGCGACATGCGAGTCAGCCCTCTTACATATTGCATACTTCCATGATCCGTCCAGGTACTTCTACAGACACAAAATCCTGAGCGATCTTCCGGTGAAGAACGAACTGCTGCAGGAGCTGGAATGGGCTTGTAGGCGACCAACCAGCCAGGCTGTTGACTTTGGCCTTGATCAATTGGAACCGTCGGATGTGCTTCGCCCAGAGGTGTGGCTTGCTGCCCTGAACACAGGAGAGGAATCCATCCGATCATCCTATGAACTTGTTCACCCGAACCAGGTATGGGCACTTAATCAGAACCCGGCCACGGGGTTTGCGAACACATCCACCGACCGGCACTTACAGACCATCATTGCCAACCTACACATGCTTTGGACCCAACATTCATCCGTTGTCCCTGCCCGGTGGCTCATGGGCAGTGAAGCGCTGGTGACGCAAGCCTTCCCCATAGTTCCTGGTCTGTGGGGAGTATCACCAGATGACACGCCGGTTCTTTGCAGCTTCAACCTTCCCAGGGAGGGACGGACGTCACGATCTATGATGGCTCAGGCTGGGAACAGCATGAACATCATTGTCATGACGGTTGTGAGCCTACATGGCTTGCTTTCCTACGAGCAACGACAGCTGCCAGACATCGTGGCAAACATCCGTTTGTCCCGCCGTGCCATGCGGACAGTACTGGGGCCGGGGTGTTGTTTTTGGTTGTTCGGAGCCTCACTAGAATTGCTTTGTTTGTCTTCGTAGTAGTGAACTTGTGGACACACGGGTCCAAACATTGCTACATGTGTGCAGGATGACGGACCGGCGCATCCGGAACTTCGACGACGAGCCACCTGTGAAGAGGTTGCGCTTCCGCGTCAATGGCAAGAGCACGGCACGCGCTGACATGTATGCTTGATGTTCAATGCGATCATGGTCATGGCCATGGTCCAATGAGTCCAATGGTGGATCGCCGGTTCTGTCGTGTGGGCAAACCATACGCACGGCATGCCACATGTTACGCCACGTACACATGACATCTGACATGGGTCTGCCATGTTGCCATGATCATGATAGGCCCTGATAGGCTTGAGGATTCATGCATGAGCCAGGTCATGAATCAATGCACAAAGTTTGTCTTTGATCATAGTCACATGAGTCACATGAGACCAACGATGTCAATGCACACGACGCGACGGCAGTTGCTCACTGTCATATACATCATGGCTCATGACCCGTGATTTGTTTCTATTCACATGCAAGGACTGTTCAATGTCATTGATTGGGATATTAATGTGTTCACTGCATTTACATCCATGGAGTCCATCGAACAGTGTGCATTTGCCGACTGTGTAGTGCAGTATGATGCATGCATGCTAAGTGTGCTGCATCCTGCACTGCACTCGTGCTCTGCATCGTTTAATTTGGTCGTCAGACATGAGCCTTCCGTGGCACATGTATAGAACGGCTGGTGGGATCTCACTATTTTGTGATTCATGGGTTATATAGATTTGCATTGTTAAATATTTAGTTTGAGTGAGTTCACACCACAGGGGAACATGACCATAGGGACCATTGGCGACGGCCATGTCCACTTTGGACCGTTTTGGGGCTCAAGTATTGGGGATGTGATTTGCGACGACCACACACAACCAGAACGACGCGACAAAAGTGGACACCATGCCTAGACCTTGCAGTGAGTGACTCTGCACGAGCTTGCGTCACAGCGTCACATGTATTGACAGGCGAAGCATTGCTTGCACTGGGCACTGAGGCCATGCTTCGAAAACAATCTGTTGGAGATCGGAACGGCAGAACGTCGGAACGGGGTAACCAGGACCATCAGCCTCTGGTGTGATGAAGAATCAAGTTGTAGTAGTGTCATGTTGTGTGTTCTGAGGACATGTGAGATACCACGTGAGCTCGCGATCACCTGGCGAAGGGGTAGCTCACCTAGCATGACCTTGTTTGCCGAATGATCTGCAACATGCATTGCATGGGGCGGGCGGGGCAACAGCATTTCCACACCTCTTCACATGTCTTCATGTCATAGAGACTTGCTGACTTGCTGTGTGTCGGCTCGCAACCTACAGCTTGTCCTGTCGCCCTTACGCGACTTGTGACATCCGACCTTCGACTCGCCACCGCCACCATGGTGAACCAGTCGTCAGCATCATCAGCCACAGCCGTTGCAAGTGCAGCGTCGCATCGCCGTGAGCACCCCGGGCATGAAGACTCCCAACAGAGTGGTCTCTTGTCAAACAAGACACGTGCCGATGTCAAAGACTCCGATCTCTTTGAGAACGTCACCAGCATTCAGCAACTGTTCGGATCCCTTCAAGGAGCAGCTTTGCTGGAGAAGTGCTTGGAATTCTATCAGGCCGATGAGTTGGATATCCCTTGGTTCTCCGACGATGGAACTCGCACGGTCGTTAGATCGGAGTTGAGCCGGCCCATTCAAGAGGCAACGGTCAGTCGCTACATGACACGCATATGGAACGAAGGCCTGAGTCAGATGGTCTCAGGCCTGCCGGTACATGCCTCCACATTATTGCTTTTTTGTTCATGTGTGCCGGGGTTGGGTTCAGGGTTCATGGTTTCTTGTCAGTGACGCAGTATTTAGACGGATGCGTTGTTGGATTGCTCTGTCCAGTGCACATGCTGCGTGACACGAGAATATGACATGATGCCGCATGCGCGTAGCATGACATGATTCTCATGGCGACTGCGGGGTGGGGTCGTTCCCCATGCTTTGTTGACTCGTGTACCACTTCATGCTTCCACGTCCATGCCATGTTAGTGATCGACCTGCTCGTGGTTGGTGATGATCGTTGTGACCGTGGGACACTGATGTGCACCACTGGCTCATCATGACTAGTGCGGGTTTCATGGGAATGTAGGACATCACTCCCACACAGGTGCCACGGGGCCATGCATGCAGTATGCAGTGCATATCATGACATCCAGTTGGGGCACGGCATGGGGCCATGGGGCATGGGCCGGGGGCATTGTCTGGGCGTTAGGGTAGCATGTGACGTTCATGATTCACACACACACACACATTTTAACGACTACATGAGTCTTTTGGCTCTCTCCATATCTCTATCCAGGCTCTATCCATCCATTCTGTTCCCGACGGTTCCCCCTCTTTCGTTTGCACTACTACACGCACATAAGCACTGCAGATGCCATAGCAAACAGGTGAAGCGATCTTCCGGTACCGGACGGCTGATCACACCCTTCCGCTATCTGCCGGTGGTTTTAACCACCGCGCGGAGGCCTTTTACCGCTGCCGAGACGAGCAGCCGGACCACCCGATGGTCCAGAACGCGTTGACTCGAGGGTTGAGGAAGGTCAAGGTCTTGCATGAACGCACGCCGGACTGCGTTTTCAAAACGGTCATCGTCCTCCTCAACGCCTTCCATCAGGGCAGCGGGGAAAACCACCTCGACTTCCTGGCAGAGGCACTGGGCATAGAGCACGCTTGGCGGGCAGAGTGTCGCGTCACCCAGATCAACACGTACAACCCTCGCTATTCCGCTGCATATGACGCCTTTATACTGAGCAAAGGCAGTAGTCCGGAGTTCAACGGGTTTTTCAAGCAGAAGAACCCCTACTACACGGCACTCGCTCTAGCACACCATCTACAGAACTACGGCGTCTACGACAAAGTCGTACAGTGGACCAACGCTTTCGTGGACTTTCTGGACCCCCGATATGAGCCACAGAACACCATCAACACCATGCACGCCATCACGTCTCTCATCGTGACGTCCCAAAAAAAATATTGCCTCAAGGCCAAAATCGGTATCATCATATTCGAGGCCGTGAAGGCCTGTGTCCCGTGCTCAGCGGTGGTCGTGTTGTGTTGCTTGTAGGACGCCGCGTGTGTCTTAGGTACGGCCCTGCTCACTCACTGGTTCCACCACCCCACCAGACCCCGCCCCATATTCATGTGCTGCAGCACTCGGCAGCATGAGCCATCCGTCAAGTTATATGCGATGTGCCACCGTCGGTCTCACATACGTTCATGTTAGCATGCGTGATTGCGTTGTTTGCATTCGTTTCACTCCCGTTTTAGGCTTGTCATGTTGCAATGCGTGACGCCGCATGTTGCATGTGTAGGGACATGTTTCTCATGAGCTTCATGACTCCTTGTATTGATTCACTATTTCAATCCTGCAAGCTTACTCTCGACAGCCCGGCACAATGATCAGGACGACTGAATCCTACACATAGCCACGAGCCGAGCCTTAAACCATTGAGCCCTTGGAACACTGAGTTCCCAAAGTAGAGGTGTGGGAACACGTCGAACTGGCCCAAATCACAAAACCAAACCCTACCAAACTCTGCACAGACAGACCGTTGACTGTCGACTGTAGATTTTGAACATGAACAGTCACTAAAACATAAATCCGAAAATGTTTGCTTGACTCTTAACCCTATTATACCGACGTCGTCAGTCCGTATGCCATATATTTCTGCTCGTGCCTACACCACCGACACCGGACTTTCGCTGGTGACCGTCTTGGGGCCCTTCTCAGCCAGGCCCCCCCGTCTTGCTCTGCGAACTCTACGGAACCCTAAACCAGCAAAGGTGCCGGTGTCACCTCACTCCCGGGCAGTCGGACGCACGCTATCCTTCTCGTTCGAGAAGGGTGGAGCTGACGCCTCGAAGTCCATGAACTTGCTGAATTTGCCAATGGAGACCAGCTCCGTCGTGAGGAAAATGGCACTGAGCACTGGTGGGGCCGGGGAGGGTGCAGAAGGCCGTGGTGGAGCCATGAGTGCTAAAGGCACCGGTAAGAGCAAAATCAATCCAAGCCTGGCCGTCAAGGCAGAGTTGGCCCAGGTGGAGTCGCTGAAGATCCAACTCAAGGATACCGAAGCGAAAAAGCTGGGCCGCCCGGCAGGAGACAGAGACATCGGTCAGGCTCAGGCAGATGCCGCAGAAGCACAGGCACAAGAACCCGACAGCAAGAAGCGGAAAACCAAGAAATCTGCCAGAGGGCTCACCATCAAGGGCTACAGCGACGACGAACGTTCCTCGTTTTCTGGTGTTGTGACTTCCTGCACATCAGGAGCGACAGAGTCTCGACCATTGACGGCCCTCGATGATATCATCCGTGCCCTTGACTATGCAATGGGTCTTCTGAAAACAAGGACATGATCACTGAGGAATCTGCCACACTGGACACCTTCGGTTTCTGTATCTCGTTGTGGCTCGAGTTCGCGTTTCAGGGCAAGGTGTCTGTGGCTGGGCGGGAGCATCGTGCATACTCCTTGCTGCGAGTCGATCTGCAGCAGACCCTTTTGGATGCCAATGAGACGCTGAACACGCCTGGGTTTGTGACCCTTGACAGTGATGGCCAAAAGACCTGCAATGCTTTGGAGCTTGCGAGGTTGCTGAATGAGAACCTCACAAGCCAGCCTGTGTCCGAGATTTTGTGGGCTGAGGACGACGACGGTGACGAGCGGGCACTGAGGAGCGTTTGTGAGCACATGACCTGCAATCGCGAGCTGACCGTGGTGCCCTGGACCGCCTACATATCCCAGAAGCTCCACTTGCCAATCCTCATGCACCAGCCCGTGCAAGATGTGGTGACTTCTCTGTTGTCTGAGAGTGCCGCCGGGAGGAAGTACCTGTTGGTGGATGTTATCTCCTCGCTCTACTCGGGCATTTGCAACATCTTGCCCCCGGGCATGTTCGGCTTCGCTTTCGATGTCGCTGCAGCATACGGAGAACGAAAACACTTTGTGGAGGGCACTCAGGAGGCTGGCGCCAACACTGGTCCTAGTGCTGTCTGTGTTTGTGTGTGTAGGTGCTCATGTCTGTAAGTCTGTAGGAATGGCACTGCAGCGACACATGTCGTTGCAACATCTCCATGCCATGTCGATTGTGCTTGACATGTAGGGATGAGTTTCATGACCCCACCCATACATCACACACGAGTCCATGAACCCATGCAGGCCCATGAATCAGGAGCTCATGAGCCTCATGAGATGCATCGTATCATTATGTTGTTCGACGTTCGATTTGTTGCTCGCGTGACGCCGCGTGAGGTGTTCGGGAATGTCGACAACCTCCAGAAGGCTTGCTCTCTTCGTGTAACGTATCTTCTGGAGCTGTTGAAGGAGTTGCTCGTGCTTCGCAAAGCCGGACGGATCCACTTGCAGGTGTCCGAACCGCTGGATGGCTTGATCCCAAAGCTGCACGCACTGCGAATGACAGATCCCTGCTTTAGCAACATGGTCGCGTTTGACGCCGTACAGTTCGCGACCCACTGGGCTCGTGACTGGACTGCCATCCTCGAGAAGGCCGACTCGGACGACCTGATGTCATTCAATGATAAGCTGGTCGCTGCCACAGAGGGGTTGGACACCAAGGATGCGACACAGGGGACCTCCAGCACGACTGCAAAATCGATAACGGCAGCATCTTTGTTTCGTTCCAGCTCCACCAACGACATTGACATTGATGGTAAGGACGATGATCAAGCCAACGGAGGTCGGGCCGGGCAACTGTTGTATAGTAGTTAGGTCAGCCATATCAGCCATATGCTCATGATTTCATGCTTCCATTCATTCCGATCAGAACGTTAGTGAGTCGCATGTGACATCATGTGACATGTGACATATGAATTGGGTCTCATGATGGTATGTAATGTAGTACACGCGGAGTATCAGTAAAGGTCATGAGTCATGAGTCATGTGCATGTGCGGCTCATATCATGAATCATGTGAGTGCGGTTCTTGCGACATGATGACACGGGTAGACTTCATGAGGCATGGTTCATGAAATTCATGAGCTTCACACTTCACGCATGCATTGCATGCATGCATTCACACATCCATGGACCATGGACACATGGTCCATACATACTCGGTCGGTTGATCCATACAGTTCATGTACTGAGGATAAAGGATACATGTCGAATGCCTGCCTGCCTGCCTGCCTGCATGCCTTATATACACATGTGCGGCACGTGTGGCCATGCGCTGCCACCATGACCATCATCACCATCATCCGAATCATCCGTCATGTCGACTTACTGAGTGAAGAAGCGAGCCGAGACACTGGAGAGTCAGGATCCGAAAACGGTCAGAGTGGCACGGCAATTCCTGGCTCGCGGAGTACTGGTTCCGCTGAAGGAGCAAGCGCCAAACAGAAGCGGCTGACTCTCTACCAGGTCAACACCTTTTGCACCACCGACGAGGTCATGTCCGCTGCCGGTGTTCTATCCCACAGTGATCATGCAAAGAGCCTGGAGATCAAGAGCATGGACACGATCTTCTTCAAGGTCTTGACTCGGCAGCTGGAGATGTTGCAGTGGCAGATGTACTCGGCCATCTGCAGGGGGGAAGACTCCATTGTGCTGAACTTCGAGAGCAAGAAAGAGGGCTTGTGTAGGATGAATGTCCCAGTGAATGACGGCCTACGACTGCCCTTCGCAGGCACAATCACGACCACCCACTCCAAGGGGGCATTGCATTTCTGCCGGCTTTTCGGGGTGGACTTTTACGTCCAGCCCAGGGACCCCAAGGAGTCGTCCATCACCAGCTCAGGTTGTGATGTGCTCGTGGCCGCGTGGCACGCCAAGCCCGTGGCAAAGCCTGCAGACGCTTACCTCTATCAAGAGGTAACGCGGATGCACTTCGTGTGCTGGCGCGAGCGCAATGCTGGCGAGTCTGATGAGCATGACAAGAAGATGTCTGAGTCGGAGCCCGTTGAGTCCGATCCCTACGGATCCGCATCTTGTGCTGCCGAGCTTGTCTTCAGGTTGGCCAAAGACGACACGGAGAAAGAAAAGTTGATCGGAAAGGCCGTCATGGAGAACTGGCCGCATTGCCATTTGGCTTGAGACCATGATGCATCCTTAGCACGTCATTGCCATTTCACATACTGTCGTTCTGTACTATGAGTATTGATTTTAACATTGACAAGTCCTGGCTCACTGGCTCCCCGTTTCACCCGTCATCGCGAGATTGGCATGTGCATTGCCGCATTGCCAATGTTTTCCATGATTATATCCCATATCATAGCATGTGACCATGTGGTGTTGAATCCATGGATTTTCCATATCAACTGCTGAATTACATGGTGTCGGGTTGTCGAGCTTGTGACCTTGATGGGATACGGATATCTCGATTTCGTCGATTAACTATTTAATTTACTGATTACTCATGCTATGAATTACGCGACGGTCCGATGTTACATTCCTACATCAAGGTTCTGGCGATTGCGAGATGCAGGTTCTCCGCCCAGCTGATGGCATCATGGAAAAGTTGCAGGCCGCAGTGGACAAACAGAAGGATAAAATGGAGAAGGCAGCCGTGGCGATGGTCAAGCAGTCTACCAAAAAGAAGGACCGCGAAGCCAAGGCAGCAGCCAAGAAACAGCGACGTGGTAAAGGTGCAGGTCGCGGCGGTGATGATGCCGAGTACGATGACGATGCTGACCTCCGGGCATGCCTCAAGCGCAAGAACGATTTGGAGCAACAGATTGCAGATGAGAAGGTCAAAGACGAGCAAGAGGACGGTGCCGTGCAGGCAGCATTGGATCGAGCAATGGACACCTGTGTGATGCCCGATACCTTGCCACTGACCAAGATCACGATTGCGAAATCGGCGTCAGACGACGGGGTGGAGCGCTCAGCTCGTCAGAAGGCGATGGCGGAAGCACTTGCGGCCGCCGAAGCCAAATTGAAGGAGCGGATGTCGGCAGCGGCATCGACATCAGACAACACGTCGGACGTGGCAGCCGACATGCTTGGGATGCAGGCCGCGATCAACTACTTCAAGACGCCGGGCAAGGGCGACAAGAAAGGCAAAGGCACGGAACGTGAACATTTGCGTTGTTCACGTATCAATGTATCAAACAGGACGAGGCTGGCTGCATGCGTAAATATTGAGGTGAAGTCACTTTTCACATTCGTCACGTTTGTATGGCCTGTTCATTAGGCTCGCTATCTGCCATCAGCGGCGTAGTCACATTCTGTCGGCTCTTTGTGACATGCTGGTTGAGTTCATGGCTTTCACGATTGACGATCATGAGACATCAGACATGAGTCGGACATGAGCGTCATGTACACAAGCGACGTTTGACCGTTTCACCCACGTTTTGACGACCCATACACGGTGCATGTGAATGCCACTCGCGTTCCACAACGCCGATTCTAAAATCTTTCATGAATCAGTCCTCATGGTTTACATGATGATGTCAAGTCGTGCCATGCATGGCATTTATGTACATGCCGATGAGCTCATGACTCATGCAACTCATGACCCATGCGGTGTTTGCAGGACTGAATGCTTAACCAATAGGATCAGCTTCATTTTTCGTACTCTACACACATAGATTTCATTACAAACTGCATTGCAAGGGTTGACAAACTGCCGATCAGATTTGACTTTTAAGTGAACCAATACAGTGCGTACTTGCATGGCCACGCCTGGCCCGTGAAATTTAGCTACGGCACCTGCGCGCTACACAAGGAGGTTGTTGCACCAAGGACTAAGTTCAGGACGACTCGCACCACATACACAGACAACCGTACGATACATGTAAAAAATGACATCAACAGAAACACAACCATCGCAAACGTGTAGCGCACATGCATTTGTCCAACAATGATTGCCCAACAATGATGCCTCGTCATGACATTGTGGGTTTCGTTTGTGCCTTGCAAGCAAGGGGAAAGACAAAAGCGAGGCTGCCAAGACCAAAAAGGACCTTTGCCGCTGGGGAAAGCACCTCCTCAAGTGAACGGAGTGACTCTGACGTCGACTCGTGTACCGGGTGCAGATTCTGCAGCAACATTACGTAGCATTTGCAAATAAACCTGTTTGAATTTACAACGAAGTTCGGTTATACACGTACTGGGAGACAGATGTTGCCCCTGATGTAAGAGTCCGAACTTTTGGATTGGCACGTCGCTCTGCGCACCTGAGAAAAATGAGAGGTATATGAAGCGCTAGCCATGACCGTCACATGCCGATCTCATGCTATGTATGTTGCGAATTTCGCGATTCCGTGCACCGATCTGATGGGCTCAGGCAATGACCATTCGATGATCTTCGCTGCTGACGAATCATCGAGATGGTCTCTGCGCATGGGGAAAACATGAGATTCAGTGAAGTGTCGCATGCGTTGTCACGGTTCCATGCTTGTTAATGCTGTGTCAGGTTTGCGGAATGGGCAGTCATGTCATGGAAACATGAGTCACTGGCCTGTTCGAAGCTTGTATATATGTCCAGGGATTCGTTTCAATCGGACACCATGATGTCAATGGTCATGTGTTTGATCATGTCCGCATGCCAACATGCATCATTCATGACATGTCCTGAATGCGGTCAATTACATGATTTAGCTCCTGGAAGGATTTGTGAGTTCGATTTCCGTCGTATATCTGACGGACGAGTCATGCATGTTTGTTGCCGGCACTGCGTTTCATCAAGTGTACGTGGCCTCATGGTGCCTCCGAGCTCTGCATTCTGATCCCGGGCTGACCCCGGTGGACAGGGCCCGAACCTGCTGGGGACCCGGTGGGGGGTGGACGGGCCCCCAGGTCCCCACCAATCTCGGCTTCAACCCACAGCTAAATTTGGAACATACGATCTCTCGCTCTCTCTCTATCTCTCTCTCTCTATCTATCTCTCTCTCTCTCTCTCTCTCTCTCTCTCTCTCTCTCTCTCTCTCTCTCTCTCTCCTCTCTCTCCTCTCTCTCTCTCTCTCTCTCTCTCTCTCTCTCTCTCTCTCTCTCTCTCTCTCTCTCTCTCTCTCTCTCTCTCTCTCTCTCTCTCTCTCTCAGTCTCTCTCTCTCTCTCTCTCTCTCTCTCTCGCTCTCTCTGTCCCCCCGCCCGAATTAGAATCTAGAAGCGGCAGCCCTTGCCGCTGGCGGCTCGTTCCGCCAAACTAAACCCCAGGCGTTCGCCAGCTACCGCCGCAGCCGCTGCAGCCAAGCACAGGCCTGCACACATGTCTAAATTTTCTTAGTCTTTTGATTGGAGAGAAGTTCTGGTTAGGGTTTGGGGGTTTGGGGTGTGGGGTTTTCGGTTTCGGGTGTATACGGTTTGGGAGGAGTCGGTTAGCTGTATATAATAGGATTGAGGGACTTGAACTATGATAAGTAAATTAAATGTGATTGCACAATTCTCCTCTAACCCTGAGCACCCCGTCTGTCCAAACCTAAAACCTGGAACCGTCTCAAATCTACAGCCAGTTAAACCTTAAGGTGTGCTGTTGATAATGACGGAGATGATGAGGGAGATGATGATGGCAGCCATGATGCATTGATTGCGAACGGACTGCGATGCCTTGTCAAGTTCTAGGGTGTCACTATAAGAGCTGTGAGCAAGACCGTGTAAAGTGCAAGGGAAGAGGGCACGCTACGTGTCCCTCGTCTCTAGGAGTAGGCTTGTGGTAGTGCTACGCACACCGCATTGCCTCTCCAACCTTTCTGTATGACCGCCCATGCAACGTTTGGCTCAAGAATGAGCACAAGCTCTAGAAAGCATTGCCCATAGCTAAAGTGCTATAATCTTCTGTGATTCCCTGAGTGGACAGAGCTATCCCGTGCACAGACGATCCACCGCCGGCCGAGAGTGTGCAAAACGAGCGAACGCTGGATCTGCCTGCATAGGAGTGCGTGTGTGGAAGTGGAAGTAACAGTGATCCAGTCTGTAGAGGGCAACCACGCCATTATCCATTATAGCTCTTTGTGGGGTGAGCGACAGAGAATATCATCAAGATCAAATCCCCACGCAGGTTATCAGCCGTACGCGGCTCTGCCTTTCTGCAGCAAAGACTACTTGATCTACTACGACCACAATGAACTCGGGATCAAGTCAAGATACGACAATGACTTTCGGTGCCGACGTGGCAGCGCCAGCCGTTGGTGAATCAACAGCTGATGACACAGTGGTGCAATCCGTTGATAGCTCCACGGAAGATGACAAAGGTCAATCTTCTGCGCTTGCCATTGCAAAGGCAGTTCCCAAAGCAAAAGCAAAGAGTCTACCAAGGGCATCTACGCCTTCGCGTCCAACATCCACAGGTTCGAGGACGAGCAAGGCTCCGGAACGACGATCCGAAGCGTCTGGTTTTCAGGCACCTCGGACTCCGTCGAGGGCAAAGGACAAGGGAGTGAAGACCTTGGAAAAGAAGCCGCGACCATCGTCTTCGAGAAGCTCTTCAGCACGATCAAGGACTTCGGCTACTCGTGGACGTGACAAGTCCATGGCATGGAATCGGATGGTTACCAATCAACCACGCGATGCTGACGATCTGGATATGACTCTGGACACTATTCCTGCACGTGGTGATGCTTCGTCGGTGACTACACCAGCCATAGCCGATGGTCCGAATGCCTACCAGGGACTGACGATTCCGCAACAGTTCGAAGCATCGAACCTTGCACAGCAGATGTACTATCGCAGTCAAGTGCAGGAGTATGAAGGAGTTGTCCAGACCCTGATGGATAAGATCAAGGAGATGCAACAAGAAGATGAAGGATCTGGGATTCGCATCGAAGAATTGGAACGACAACGTGATCATGCATGCTTAGCCATGAGGCACATTAACAATGTCAATCAGGAGATGAAGCGAGACTATGAAACAGCCTTGTTTCGCATGGATGAGCAGAACTCTGCTCAACAACGTCAAGCACACGCCGTTGCTGAGGAATTAGCCCAACAGCTACACGTGTTTCGCACGGAAGCAGCCACTAACTTTGTGCAGTTGGAGGCAAGGGCGCAGGGCGATGGTGAGCTTATGGCACGGGAGTATGAGCACCTGACTCACGAGCTTCACGAACGAGCCAGAGAGAATTTGTTCCTCCGATCGAACACAGCAAGTTCGGAACAAGCCCTGCAAGCTATGCAGGAACGATTCCACCTGGTCAGGAATCAGGAATTGCGAGCCATGAACGAGATTCAGGGGCTGGCTGGGAACAGTGCAGCCACTGATCAAGAACGACTTCGGCTTCGCGAACGTCTTGGCGAGGAGGAAGAGTACCGCAAAATGGCTGTGAAGAGAATGCAAGATGCAGAGGACCGACTCCATCAGAACGAAGATCATGCAAGGCACGCATTGCCTACCTTGCACGACGAGCTGAGTGAACTCAGGAAAACGCTCAAAGCACAAGAAGATCTTCAAGCGAGGACACGCAGCGAATTGGAGGCAGCACGGAACTCCAGCTTCCATGGCGGAGTGGCACGGCCTTCGAGCGTGCCAATGTCTTCGAGGACTACTGAGTCTGGCTGGGAGCACGTAGGGAAAGATGTAGTGCCTGCATTTTCCGTAGGAGGTGAGGTACGATCCCCTGAAATACGATCCCCAAGTCAGATTAGTCCAGTCGCCAAAGAGAAGTTCGCATTCCCGGAATCGAGCAAGGACAAGAACCTTGTGATGGATGGCATTCCATTCACCGGTGGGAACTTCTTCACCGGCAACATCAAAGGTGAGGCCAGTAAGTCCTACACAACTCCAATGGTGGCGGATGCAATGCCCGAGCACTACGTGCCAGGCAATAGCAGTCCAGCACATGCGCGTTCCACGCCTAGTGCAGCCACTCTGTTTGGCATACCAAGTGGATTTCATGGACAAAGTGATGCGGCAGCTGTACGTGATCGACAGCTACGTGAACTCTTGGAGGATCGCGGGATGTTGGGATCAAAATCCACAGCATCTGCCAGCTCTTCGAGGCCTGTTGATATCGACGGCGTCATCGCATCTATGAAAGGCAACGACTCCAATGTTGCCAGAAAGGCTACGCCTGTTACCTATGATGCCTCCATCCACGAAGCAAGGAGACTTCAGATCGAGAAGGAGATCGCGGAGCAGTACGAAGAGAAGATTGCTGATCTGCGAAGCGAAGTACTCAAGGCCCAGAAAGCTGAAAAACGTCTCAGAGCTGATCGTGATGAGTGGAGACTATTCGCTGAAACGATGCAGGAAGACA